GAAGGGTGCGCTGCATCCTGCTAAGGGTGTTCGGCATTTTGTGCTTACTTCCTTGCATACGGATGACAGCTGCGTATGACTTAATTTATTTTCTGGTGCTGGGGTCGGAATTTGCGTGTGAAACATGGTGTAGACTGGGGGATCTCATTTCGCGGCAAATATTATCTCGATTTTTCATCTTGGTTGTCCAGCACATCGATGTTTCGTACCTCTTTTCGAGAGGGCTACGTGCTTGGGCCATTGGTCTCTTGAAGCTTTAAATCGTAAGTGTACTACAGCATGACCAGCGCAGCTTTCACGAGAGCAGGGGCGGGGGCAGAAGTGTAGTGGGCACAGCAGACCATGATATAGTAGTCTCTGCGTGATTGGACAAACCTTCCACATATGCAGTTCCTCCTTGCTGTCAAGATTCTCACTCACCCATCTCCCCCGGAAGCGTGCCTGATGGCCGCGTCGACGAGACTACCGACGGGGCTTTCGGAGACCGAAACCGAAATCTCCACGGCCGCCACGGCTAGGAAGGAGCTGGCCAACAACACGGATGGCCGGGTAACGGCGTACAGGATCGATGCCACGTAGACGACCTTCCTCGTGGTAGGATACAAATTCATCGCAAGCACCGGCGGAGGAGTTCAGGAAGGGGGGAGCAAACAACAGGAACGTGCGCAGGAAAGGGTAAAGACGGGCTTAGCTTCGTAGCCCTCCATGGTGGAAATAGTGCGCGGATTGACACAGCGTGCACAAACTCGCCACGGCTCCTTCCTTTCCGAGAAGAATAGCTTACACAAGGAATGACGGAGCGGCCTGGAAACAATCCGTACACCGATGTACGTACACTCTCCGTCCATCCCACACCATCGCGGAGGGAGGGAGGGGTGCAACTCACGCGGTCACGAGTCACAAACCAACGCATTCTCTCTCCGTCGTGACGCCGGCCCGGGGTTGTCGGCGGAACAGGTGCGGGGAAGAACATATCCGGGGTGCACCTAATTAAATAATGGATAATGGATAAAGAGCATAAGCGCAATCACACCTCACAACCTCACCTGCTGCTGAATATTGTGTCTGTCCGCGAACGCGCAAGCGACTGGGGTCCAAAAGAAGGATGCGACCGGATTGATGGCACCCAGAAGGCCGACCTGGTGCTCTGATCAGCGGCGTTGACGGCAACAGACGGGAGCACAGCCGTTCGCTTCAACCTTAGCTCGAGTCGAGTTGGCACATTTCACATTTAGGCAGCGACGGGCCGGCTCACAGAGATATGACGTCAAGCGCACGGATGGGATGGAGCTGGCTAGAAACACATAGAACGTCCATGGAAAAACGAGTTTTCACGGAAACACAAACGATTGACTCTTCATTCAGTTCCAGCATCAAATCGTTTGCTCCAATTGTGTTACCTTAGACGACACAAGATATCACACCCCGGTTATGATATGGTGGGCTTTAAAGATATTGTCACCGGGTGTGGTTTCCTGTGGGGGTGTGGTATCTTATGTAGCCCGGGTGATAAAGTGCAGCTCTCATGGGTCTTCAAGGGTGTGTGATAAACCAGGGTGTGTGATTGCACGTCCGAATACCCACAGGGTGTGTTTGGGGGTGTGATAATGATGATTTGTTGTAAAAAAGGCCGTGTTATAACACTGCTTGTACATGTAGAATTGAACCGCTGCTGCTGCACACTTGACAAACAACGGAGCTCAACGGAGGTGACAACACTCCTAGCACATGACCTCGGTGGCCACAGAGTGCGCCAACCGTCCTGCCCCCTCACACAAAATAGTAGGCTGCTGCATGCCTTGCTATTGGGTACGACCAAAAGAGAGTTAAGCAGATGTTGTGATGAGTGTGTGCGACGCCCACATGCCAACGGGGCAGACGCGTACACCGCGGTGATAGAAGGAGGGGCCCCGTGAATGTATTCATTGGGCATGTGTCTACATAGCAGCACTAGTCTACTTGAGGACGGTTCCAGCTTGCACATTTTTAACCTGAACTGTCCACATCGATCGCGGAGATGCAACTGATGCACAAGCCTACACATACAACAACCCTGTTTTACATACGTGACATCAGCCAACGACATTTTTCACCGGAAAGTCCCTTGGACCGCCAAATGAGGGGCATGAAGGGCAAAACGCAGCCATACGCCATGAACAAGAAGAAGTACAGAATGCATCCTCGCACATGGGAAGATGCATTTGGTTCCATGTCGGATCCCCTGATGGACGCAAGCCGGCCGAGAGAGGAAAGCTTGCGGGATTGCGCCGTTCCGCCGTTCCACGATGCACACGCGCAATAGTTGCGCCGCATTCAGGTTCGGAACTCAGCACGTTCCGTTCCGGATACGAGCGCGGCACAACCTCCGCTTTGTATTTTCGTAATTTCCTTTGCCCTCCGCCCTCCGCGCTGTTGGGTCTATGCAGAATTACAGCTCAACTTTAGGCGTAGGCTGTCAGCAATGGAAATTTGCAAAGAAAGGTGCTCCCCGCGTTGTCGTCATATCTAGGCTATTCTGGGTAACTATCTTGGGCGGCACACACAAGACTCATTCATGGTTCGAGTGCGCATGTGCGTGGAACTGGACCACATGTATGCAGGTGCACTCCATCGATCCGACGGATCGTGTGACCGATCTACAATACAAAAATCCAATTTGATCGTCTATTCCACGTCAAAAACACCTTAAAGTTCGAGAAGAGAACTCTCTGTGAAGTGTGAGACCAATGTTTACACACACCACAGGGAAGCCCCTCTTCACTCAGAACGAAACAAAAAGAAACAAATTGGGATGCACCGCTTTTGGTTGAACCACCTCGTTTGGACAGACAAGGCCGACTCTTTGTCTTCCACAGGAGGCGGATGCTGCTCAAACTCGGGGAGGCTTCATGATTTGCACAATTCACCACCGAAGCATACTCCCGACACCATACATTTGGTCTGTAGCTCGAGATCCGCATTTGGATCGGGTCGGGCGAAAAAAGGGGTGGAGGAGTCAATGAAAGTTCCACCCACGGACACTAGCCTGACAAGCTAAAGCTTCAGAATTGCCACGCGAGTAAAAAACAACGGAGAACACCCGGCGAAAGCTTGGTGGGACGCAGGCTACCACAGACTACGGCCAGACTCTTATCTCGGCTCCTCGGTTCTAGCACACGCGCGAGAGATGACACACATCCATCCATACATTCACACCTAGTACCAGGCGCAAGAGGAGCAACTCGTGCTGCAGCTAAATGACGGCCCCACACGCGGCTCTATTTTGGCTAGAAGCTCGAGGTTTTAAAGGTTCTTGCCCAGAAGGTAGCCCACTTGGTGCGCACAGAAAGAGATCGCCGAAGCTTTCCGTAAGGACGCGAATGAAGAGTTTGTTGAAAATTGTCCAGTACATGTTGGACATACATTGACGGGGGCCTAACCCGTCCGACGACGACCTAGAGCTAGGGCTAAATACCGCGGCACAAGTTGACGGTTCGAAGGGCAGGGGGGTGATGGCGCCGCCACCATACAGTCTACTCGGAGCTATCATCGGATTTTGGCCAGCGCGGAGAGCGCGGAGTGGTGTGGCGTAAGCGAAGCAGCACACTATTTTCGCAAGGCAAAAATGGCGTTTGTTAGATATACTCGCAGCAGTATCTGGTCGTGAGGATCCCAGGGGGATACGTGTTGGGAATTTCGTGTGTTGTAGGGTACAACCGGCGCAGTCACGGGGACCCTTTGGGCGTGGTCGGTGCGATGATGAGGCTTGCGTGCGTGCTGCGCACTTCTTCTTCACCTTCCCTCTCTGTCCACCACCACCACCACCGTCTCTCTCCAATCAAGTTTCCTTCTCTGACTCTCTCTCTAACTCTCTCTCAACCTCTCTCTCTCGGCCTAACACGGCCGACTACCCAGTGCCCCAAAGCAACGTCCAGAACGTGCTTGCTGCACCCCGCGTAGTTTACCTTTCACGCTGGTGCGACGATATCACGGTATATGCGCGCGGGCGTAGCCTTCCGGAGGTTGTGAAGTCACGCGCGATCGGTAGACTCCCACAACGACACAAACCAGGGGGCGATTCAACTAGCGCAGAACCCCATCTCAAACTCGAACAGAAGCACATAGATGTAAGGCACCATTTTCTCAGGGAACTGGTAGAGAGGAAGGAAATTTCGGTGATCCACATGCCGTCGCCGTACCAGCGTGCAGACTTTCTTAGAAAGAGTTTGTCGAAGGATGCTTTCGAGTCTCACCGTGATTGTATGTATGATGAATTTGGCATGAACATTTAAAATATTGTTTTTCTGATGGGTTGTGTTTTGGTCTTGTTTTGTTTCCCGTTTTGTTACATTTCCCGCGCCAAGTATTTGTTACGCGCGATGCAGCATTCGTGTTTCTTGGAATTGTTTTTCTCTCTTATATTATTCTAGTCAAGTGTTCATGGCATATATTTTTGAAAAGACGTCTTTTGGTTGAGATATCGGGTGTTAGCGAAGCTTTCAGTGAGAACTGTTGCGAGCAGGGGGGATGTTAGATATACTCGCAGCAGTATCTGGTCGTGAGGATCCGACGGGAATATGTGTTGGGAATTTCGTGTGTTGTAGGGTACACCCGGCGCAGTCACGGGGACCCTTTGGGCGTGGTCGGTGCGATGATGAGGCTTGCGTGCGTGCTGCGCACTTCCACTTCTTCCCTCTCTCTCCACCACCACCGCCGTCTCTCTCCAATCAAGCTTCCCTCTCTCACTCTCTCTCTAACTCTCTCTCAACCTCTCTCTCTCGGCCTAACACGGCCGACTACCCAGTGCCCCAAAGCAACGTCCAGAACGTGCTTGCTGCACCCCGCGTAGTCTACCTTTCAGGCTGGTGCGACGATATCACGGTATATGCGCGCGGGCGTAGCCTTCCGGAGGTTGTGAAGTCACGCGCGATCGGTAGACTCCCACAACGACACAAACCAGGGGGCGATTCAACTAGCGCAGAACCCCATCTCAAACTCGAACAGAAGCACATAGATGTAAGGCACCATTTTCTCAGGGAACTGGTAGAGAGGAAGGAAATTTCGGTGATCCACATGCCGTCGCCGTACCAGCGTGCAGACTTTCTTAGAAAGAGTTTGTCGAAGGATGCTTTCGAGTCTCACCGTGATTGTATGTATGATGAATTTGGCATGAACATTTAAAATATTGTTTTTCTGATGGGTTGTGTTTTGGTCTTGTTTTGTTTCCCGTTTTGTTACATTTCCCGCGCCAAGTATTTGTTACGCGCGATGCAGCATTCGTGTTTCTTGGAATTGTTTTTCTCTCTTATATTATTCTAGTCAAGTGTTCATGGCATATATTTTTGAAAAGACGTCTTTTGGTTGAGATATCGGGTGTTAGCGAAGCTTTCAGTGAGAACTGTTGCGAGCAGGGGGGATGTTAGATATACTCGCAGCAGTATCTGGTCGTGAGGATCCGACGGGAATATGTGTTGGGAATTTCGTGTGTTGTAGGGTACACCCGGCGCAGTCACGGGGACCCTTTGGGCGTGGTCGGTGCGATGATGAGGCTTGCGTGCGTGCTGCGCACTTCCACTTCTTCCCTCTCTCTCCACCACCACCGCCGTCTCTCTCCAATCAAGCTTCCCTCTCTCACTCTCTCTCTAACTCTCTCTCAACCTCTCTCTCTCGGCCTAACACGGTCGACTACCCAGTGCCCCAAAGCAACGTCCAGAACGTGCTTGCTGCACCCCGCGTAGTTTACCTTTCAGCGTTCCTGGTAGCGCGCGCCGCTCAACCAGCGCGCAAGGCAAACATCAGAGGGATCATGTTGGGTTAAGAATGATCGATACGGGACACATGGCAGAAATGAGATGCTCAAGCACGTGTTGGTTGGTTGCCATTGCGTTGTCACGAGTTTGTCTCCTCACCTTCACTTCGTCAGAGATGCGAACGATGTTCCAGTCTTGATGAGGGGCATACAGTCCAGAAGGGAGAATAAGCTTCGTGCTTTGGCAAATGAAAATGCACTAAATTATGTGCGTGCTGCGTTTTGTCCTTCTATGGCTCGTTACCTCTTCGTCTGCACCTACCTTCGTATGGCTGCTGCAATGAGACACATGGCTCTATCAAGATGAGCTTTCGATGCTGCTCTTCAGTACTGCACGCCTGAGAAAAAAAAAAAAACAAGCGGCTCAACACAAAAAATGGCAGTTGGCTAGCCCACCGGCGATCAGACGTCTGCATTGCCACTTTTGCCGGCGTACAGCAGTACTAAAATAGTAGCTATTCAGGAAAGCTGGTTTCACGGAATTTCGTTCACAATAGAGCGAGAACTGCTCGGCGCAGGCTCCGAGACTCTGCCGAAAAAATGTGATCCATGCCCCTGCTGCGGCCGAACCTCCTGTGGTGTGCACGCACGGCAAGCTTAACACGAGGACGCGCCCTATACCTAACCGATCGACACGAAACAATGACGGCCCGAGTTGCTCGATGCCGCAACCTTTTTTTGAGTAGCTTCTCCGATGGCCCGGATTCGAGCTTGATTGCAGCCCTGGCAGTGCCAAGCTTGTGGGCGTCCTGATCCACCACCCTCCGTTATGTTATCGTCCACGACGTCCACACTGTACCACCTCTTCTGGTCCTTCACAGGGTACCCTCTCTTGCACACGCTACATGTTCGGAGCTCCGGCTTTGCTTCCCTCTCGAGAAGAAAACCGTAGAAACAATCTCGGCGTTGGCAAATGCAGTCGTTGCTGGGACAAAATCCTCGCACGAGAGGTGGAGGCAGCTCCCCCTCTCCTTGGTACTCGGCCAAAAACAACCGTGTCGCTCGTTCAAGCCGTGGCCCTCTGAATTGCGTGAAGCCAGCTAAGCCCTCCGACCTATGGCATGCGGAGCATAGCTTGTCACTGACGGCGTGCACTACGCCTGAGGGGCACATGCTGCATTCGAGACCCGGGTTGTTTGTGAACCAACCGCACTCCGCACGCCTACAAGGTTTCTTGCGTGTTTTTTTCTCGGCTCCGATCTGAGTATTCCTAACTCCAGGATCACACTGTCTCCGCGCTGCACTCCGCTTGACGGAGCGAGAGCCAGCTGTTCTAAGCTTTCCAACGCAACTTCGACGCCGGAATTCAACCGTCCGCTTGCCTCCAGACTCCAACTTCTCACGTTCAGCTTCGGCAATATCTCGCTCTCTGCGGACCTTAGCATGTTGCCTCGCCTCCTTTTGCTGCTCACTGTACTCCTCGTCTGCCATCCTCCCCTCAAAGACGGCTTGCCGCCTCTGCGCTAGCGTCCGTTTCTTTCTGCGTTTCCTACCGGATCCTGTACGGCTTCCCGGATCTCGGCCACGCGCGCCGGATCCCGCCACTCGCTTAGTTGAGACGCCAGACGTACTTGCGGGTGTAGCCTCTGGGGAAGCGGTGCCCAGGCCGCCTCCCCGTTGACAAGTAGCCGTAGACCCCCCCCAGCTGCTACCATTAACAGGATTCGACGGAGTTCGTGGGGGGCGACTACGTGGGTGGCGCGTCCTCCTTGGTGTCGCTTTTCCTTCAGCGGGGCTGCATGTCCGTCCACGTCTTGGTTCAGGGCGAGGAGACGCAGGTGGTGTCACGGTCTGCTCGGTATGGCTCTTGTCGCCGCTCCCCCCCCCCTTTGCCCGCTACTCCTACTACGTCTCATCGCGTGTCGGCTCGATACTCCCTCTACGGACAGGTCCTAGGCCAAGGATACCCTGAAATCGTAACGCGCACAAAAAGGAGGTAGTTAACTCGGCGTTATCCGTAGTGTATAGATAATTGATACCATGACACTCGGACAGTCATTCATGGCATCCCATCCCAAAGTCAGGTGCGTGTGTCTCCATATTTAACCATAAAATCAATTCTATATTCGTACCAGGAAGGATACTGCTCAAAACGTTTCAGGAGTATCGAAAGTAATCCAAATAATACAAATCAGGGGGGGGGGTCTAGTTCGTTCGAAGTACCGCGGACTATCCACAAAGATGCGTTCGTTTCGAACGTCAACTTCTCTAGACTCTAGATGTGGTCTGGGGTTCAGAAAAGTCGCTTCCACCCCTCTCTTGATCACCAAAAACCATGGACCCTGCTCCGACAGATAGTGAGCGTATCCCGCCGCGTGCTTTCTGATATTTCCACAGCAGTTTGACATGTGTAGTGTATGTTTACTTTAAGACAACCCAATCTGCTGTGCTGCGGTGCATGTAGACTATGCAGACCTGCGTTTCGGATCTTTCCAGCATACAGTGCCGGAAAGTGTGAGCCCGAATACGGGTGCTTTGAAAAAAAAAAGAACCTTCTTCAACAAATTGAGCGGAACCAAAATGTTCGTGAGAAAGCTCTCGCCAGCAGCGATCGAATAAGCCTATCCACAGCGCGGGGTTTTCGTTTTTGAGAAAGATATGGCTCCTTTACCATCAATGCAGAAGGCACTTCATCCCACAAGAATCGCCATGTCTCAACAACTACGGCGAACCCCGCAAAAAAAATTGCAGATTTGCAAAGCTCTCTTTCAGAAGTATTTTACTGCGGCAGAACCATACCCGAGCGTGGTGAAGAAGAACTTAAAAAAAAATCAAAATCCTGTGAACAAAAAAAAGAAGCATTTCTCCAGATTCTTCACCTTGAATTTTTGTCGTGGGGCAATATGATGATAACTCAAGGAGTAATTGAGCAATTCTGGAAAAGATTACAGGAAAATGACCGTTAGTGTTACATGTATATAACGGCACATGTCCACTGAGCGGTTCCAGTTTGTTTTCGTGTGCAATGGCATTGATGTCGTTCGCGCCGGCGCCCACAGGCCCAACACCCCGGTTCGAGCCCAGCAAGCATTCTCTCTAGTCTTTTTTTCCTGATCATATTTGTGTTTTATGTTAATTTTTCCATACGTTTATCTTGAAAAATGTATGCAATTTTCTTCGACCTCATCAAAAAAAATTTGGTCACCGCGTCTTGTCGGTGCCATCACGGGCAATACGCACGTGAAAATAGTGTCGAAAACCATGACTTTAGTCAAAAGTTATGGCCGGTCAACCAAAATCGGTCTCACACTTTCCGGCACTGTAGCGCAACAATTTTGAACTTTGATCTCAACATGCTTATCTTTTGACGGATCAAATCGCTCCAAACCTTTTGTAAAAGATGTCAACAGCCCTGCTGCGCCCTATGAAGCCGGCCGTGGGAGGCGAGGTCTTGAGTTGTTGCGCCGCAAGAAATCGAGGGGTTTCAGCAGGGGATGGCTTCCCGCCCGAGGCGTTATGTCTCACACTTTTTTTTTTATCAAACGTGACAGCGGAAGATTATCGCCCAGTGTGTTTGGATATCGCATCCGCGACCCCCCCTCGGTGGTGTGCTGAAGCATTCTTACATTCACGTCATTCTCTCTGCGCTACTTGCGCTACCCGCCCACACGTCGCGCTCTCGCTGCTGTATCACACACCAGGCCTTGAGGGGGGACAATCATGCGCCAACACCGTACGAATGGAAGAGGAGCAGTGTTGGCCCTGCTGCTAGTGGCGCTGCTTGATGGCATGCAGCTTCGGCTGGTCGACTGCAGCAGCAGCAGCAGCAGCAGCAGCAGCAGCAGCAGGGAACATGTCTTCGACTTCGATATGATCATCGATGGGTTGCCGCCGGGCTTCGTGTTCGGGACAGCTTCGGCTGCGTATCAGGTGTGTGGAAGGGTAAGGAGCGAGAGGTAGGGCAGCGTTCCTATCGTCCTGACGCCTACTCGTCCGCGGACATTGCCAGGTAAGAAGTTATAGCAGTACTGCTGTCTGTGTACGATCCTTGCACCTTTGGACGGAAAGGTCCCACTCGTCGACAACACTGTTGCACCACCACCACCATCATGGTTGATGGCACCAGATGGTAGTTGGCACCGCTTGGTTACGCGTGTAGGTTGTCGCTTATGTTGTGTTGCAAAATGTGTGGCATGTGCTGCTCTAGGAAACACTTGCGATGTGTGCTACTACTGCTCCTGTACAGCAAGCAGTACATGTGGTCCTTCAGTAGGGTACTCGGTGGCCGCTGCTTCGGAAAGGACAATCAACCGCACAGACTCGCAAGTGTACATACTTAACGGCTAAATCTCTATGACCAGGCTTCGGGCGCGCCTTTTATCCACATCAGTGTGGGTGGACTCAGATCAGAGGCGATGCGTTTGATCCTCACGATGGAGGCATGTGGGCCTCATCGGCATGTGGTAATTTAACCGCGCGACACAGCCTACCGCGTTTCTGGCATCTCGCTGTGTTTGCTGAATGGACTGCAAAGTGTGCACATGCAATACTGATGTTCCTGTCAGTGAACCGGATTGGCCCAGCGCGCATTTGTGTGGAGAAAAGTAGACAGCTCAGCCGAGGCGGGCGACGTGGAAAACTTCTTGTGTCTTCTACATAGTATCATGGCAACTGAAGATGTCGTTAGAAAACACGTCGTTTTTGACTGTATGTCAGTGGCGGTATCTCGAACGGGTACAGCAGAGGTTCCTTCCGCGTTTGATCTTCATCTCTATCTTTCGAGAAAAGATATGCACTTTGAAAATAGTGTGCGTGTACGCATGTACATGAGATACATATAATAATAGGTCACCACCCATCACGACATCCATATCTGTCACGCAATGCAGATCGCCAAGTGAGTCTCTGACACAGCCCCAACGTCCCCGAAAGATCCTCCGAGGGGACACCAAGCACTCTTCTTGGTCTTCGTGTTGTCCCGCAACCTGCCGACTGCAAGCTCCGCATATTGTGCCCATCCCACCTGCTTGCTACGTGATAGTTGTGCGATACATACGAGGATGCACAGGTGATAACGGCTCCTGTGTGACTCAGACTGGCGCTCGTCCGACACACAAAATCGAAATCAGCAACGCACGGCACACGCGCAATACGCTCGCGATCGTCCCGTTCATTGGTTAGCCGCTCAGCCCATCCGATGCCGATTGGCAGGCCAAGAAAGGACACCCGACAGCCGACAAGGAAGGCGCCCAGCCAAGATGATTGCCTGCCACGGGTCTGTTCTAAGGCAGTATGGGGACAGCAGCAGTAACACACCTGCTCGTGTCGAAGGGCACTGGCCGAAGGGCGCTGGCCGAAGGGCACTGGCCGAAGGGCACTGGCCGAAAGTTGGGCTTCTTTCCACGGGCAAAACATGTGCATACCACTTTTTTGCTATTTGGGCGTATCACCCTCTCTTCAAGTGCAGCCCTCGCTATCCGTCTGCGAGCGGTGCCACAGCGCGTACGCGACCGCCCCTCCCCACCCCCTCGACGACGGAATGTTTCGTGTCCATCCCCGACTCGAGGCAAATGTGCCAGTCGCTATTAGGAGAGGTGTCAGGACGAGATCGTCCCCTCCTTGAGATACGGTTTATTGTAGTCTGCATGTAGTCTAATATTGTGCCAAAGATAAAAATTAAAGAGGGGATTAGCTTTTGTTGCCGATCTACGCAGGATGGTATCGGCGTATCGGCACTTGATTCCGCTTGTTGTCGATTTTCGCCACCAACGATACAAGCACCATACAGTTTTTCCATTGAACGAAAACCACCTCCTCCGCCACCGCCCCCACCACGACCAACATTACAACAATAACAATCATCATCAGCCCACATCATCATCATAATCAACAACAATATCATTATCACCCCACTCACATCGGCAACCCATCACATCTTACAAAACAGATCGAGGGTGCGGTGAACGAGGGTGGGCGCGGCCCAACGATCTGGGACACCTTCTCCCACATGGATCCACCCAAGGTAGCCCGCGGGGAGAACGGAGACGTCGCTTGCGACTCGTACCACAGGCGAGTGTTTGCGTGTGTGTGTGTCTTTTTAAGCGTCGGCCACGCTATCCGCCTGACCAATGAAAAGCCAGCAGTCTCAGAGTGTGTTATTGTGACTGCGCTAACCGGCTGACCAATGCTAAGACGTCAGTCTCAAGTGTGCGTGATTTTTTTTAGTTGGCATCGACCACGCTAGCCGGCTGACCGATGAAAAGCGCGGTTGAAAACAGAAAATGCCTCGAGAGGCCATGATCTTTGATCCCGTGAGGGGGCGTCATGGGGGAGGCTATGCTGCTATTCCGACTACAAACAGAAACGGTAGCAACAGCAAGAGTTCTACGGGAGGGTAAGCAGGAATTAGTCGACAGGTTAGTACTCTGCTTGTGGAGTGCAAGGTGAAGAAGACTCAACGCCTCCTACGGTGGTAGCACCAGCTACCCTGTACTGGGTTAACCTCTACCAATGTGTGTGTGGTTGCCTTTGTGTTTCTTTATAGAGAATCAACCGCGCTGCGCTAGCCGGCTGATCACTCAAAAGATGTCGGCCACGTCATAAGGGACACCAAATACGACGCGAACACTTTCTTTTCTATTCTGCGGGACCCCCCCCTCCAAGGGGGGGAAGCCGCGGTAGAGACTGAATGACCAGAGTCCCTGTCTCTGTGCACGTTCAAAGCAGCTGAATAAGGAGAAAGCTACCCTACATGCAACGCGCACGTAGCATTCCCCCCTCGCGGAACATGCGTGTGAACCGACTTTCCGATATATTCACGTCTCCGCTGTGGTTACAATAGAGGGATGCCACAAAGTATCATGCAATCGTCGAGTACCCCGCGATGCCGGCCTCCTCTTTCAAGGTACGAGGAAGACGCCGACCTGACCAAGGCCGCGGGGTTCGACGGCTTCCGAATGTCGTTCGCGTGGAGCCGCATCTACCCGGAGGGGGAGGGCGACGAGCCTAACGCCGAGGGCATTCGCCACTACCACGACGTGATCGACTCGTTGCTGGAGAGGGGGCTGGAGCCAATGGTCACGCTGTACCACTGGGATCTACCGCAGGTGGCGATGGCTTTGTATTTTGGTGTTTGCCGACTTGCTGTTGGTGTCTTGCGTTGACGTTGGCGTCGCAGTGCTTGCGCTGATCTCAGAAAAGTGTTAGAGCCCTCCTGAAACCCTGAAGGCGTGTTTTGTTCTTGCGTTGAGTTTTACAAATACTGAAGGTTTTTTTATTTTTATCCCCCTTGGGTTTAGCTGGGTTTTTTTTTCAGCAAAGCAAAAAGGGAAAGAGGAAGTGCGGGAGAGAGAGACAGAAGGGCAGCAGAAAGAGACAGAGTGTACTTCTGTAGACGACAGCAATCGCCACCCATAGGCCATGAGGGCAGCCCGCGACAGGACCGTGGGCACAGACAGGGTCATAGAAGGGTTGAGCCTGGTCGCGGTGCGGCTGGTAGGGCAGGATAGGAACGATCAGTCGTCAAGTCGCCTAAACTATTCTATTGTCAGTATTTTCAAATGATCAGTGAAAACGATCAGTGAGAGGGCTTGTAGACCCATAGCTGGCTCTTGTACTTCTGTACTTCTCTGTTCCCTCCCCAATGTGAGCCCTGCCGGCTCACTACAGCTCCTGTGATTTTCCACAATTCCCACAAGCACGCGAGCACACCAGCACACATACCTACCTTTGCATCAGTGGCTCTCTAGGTTTGGGCGAGGATGTGTTCCTACTTAGGTTTACATGTTGGACTCGTCTATACTGCTGCTGCTGCTGCGTAGTATAGCTGCTGACACGATGACTGCTGGATCTTGAAAGTGTACAATTTTTAAATTTGGAGGATATGCAGCAGCATACCACGATATCCTGGTCTGGTTGGGCTTGAAATGCCCCTTTTCGCTGCCCTCCTGTCTTTGCTTTTGTGGCTTCCTAGATCCGGGCGAGGGCATGTATATGGAGCTATTGATGTGTGTCTCTGTGAAAGGATATGGGGAGAGATATATGATGTGCATCTTTCGAATTTTGGCCGTTCCAGGGACCTTGATATTACCCGCTGGCACCAACGTCTTTTCATTGGTCACGGGTTGGCGCGGTCGATGCGAAAAATAAAGACACACCTACCTATGGGCTTGCCAACACCTGGCGTGGAGGAACACAGGGCGGCAACTCCATGGCATGCCACAACGCCAGCACTTGCAAATAATCGATCAATCAATCAATCATCTGTCAGAACGCCTGTAGACCCAAAAGGGTGAAACCTGAATACGCCAGTGGATTCCTTTTTCGACAACCGTTAGAACATCCGATTCGTGTGTAACGAATTTGGACAATGGTCATTGACGAACCGCTTTGGGGACTGATGTTGAAGTACGTTGTGAGTCGATCGACATGGAGAGACCGGCGGCGGTGGAAAGCTGGCATGTCGACTTGACGCGTCCCCGTCCGGCAAGCGTCTATTGTAATATTAATCTTCGTCCTCGAATTATTTTCAATTTGACGTGGTACGGCTCGTGTCTGCTGCTGCTGCTGCTGCTGCTGCTGCTGCTGCTGCTGCTGCTGCTGCTTGCCTGCGTGCACCGTCTTTCTGTTTGTATGGTGCATCGTTGAATCCTGAAAAGGCTCTGGAAGACAAGTACGGCGGTTGGCTCAACGAATCCATCGTCCCGGCGTTCGAGGCCTACGCGGACACCTGCTTCCGGGAGTATGGCGGCAAGGTATGGAAAAAGAAGGCCCTTCGGTGGCGACCGGACGGCGCCTTCCACGTCACTCAAGCACTACCACTCGCAAGCTGGCTATATGCAGAAGGCTACCGGTTTAGTCCGTATGGTTGGAAAAGGGGTTGGGGTCCGCGGTTGAGACTGGAAGGGTTTTGGTGTGCGTGAAGTGTAACGTAAACATGGCAAATAACAGGTTGGACGAGCAGGCCGCGATGTATGTGCGTGGAGTACGTTCCTAAGTGACGGACGTCGTGCGCCGTGTATCCCGACTGAAGAGTGTGATGTCGAGATTGCGTCCCTTGCTTTCTTTTTGACGATTTTCGGGGTGAAACATTTCACCGCCGCGTTAATGATTGTCCTTGGTTTCACAAGACGGTGCTCGCTGACGCGAACCCTATCTCCGTTTATTTATAGACACTCTCCGGCAAATTTGTTCGAGCTCGAGGGAAGAGGAACAGGAGAAAGGGAAAAGGCTGCGTCGAAAGCTCAACCTGCGCGGGTTGTCGCAAGCCCCCCGGTCTCCCTGCCGAGCTAGCTGCGTCCGTATCATGCAGCATAACTTGTTTCGGTCGTCAACGTGGTGGATTGCCCGTCGTCTTCTATTCCAGGTGAAGAAGTGGATCACCATCAACGAACCTTGGAGCTTCATACACCACGGCTACTCCACAGGCGGGCACGCACCCGGACGCTGCTCAAACAGGCAAGTGGATCTGTGACCCTTCTCGGGGATGTTTCGTTGAAGTTCAACATGTTGGGTAAAGCATGCCAATGGGGAAATGGAGTTGTTAGGGTCAGGGATACGGATATGGGGTCTGCGTACCCCCTCCATGTTTTGTTTCCTCGTTAGATTTATGTAATAATCTCGGGAAGGCGGTCCAAGTGAAACCGAGGCGCGGAGAGGAGTTGCAAAACAAGGCACGGGGGTGAGTGCCCGCAGCAGGTTTGTGTGTGTCTTTCTTAGACGCATCGACCGTGCTAACTGGCTGAGCAATCAAAAGACGCCAGTCTCAGTGCGGTGGAAAACACGAAATTCTTCTGTGGGCCACGATCTGGGACTCCGTGACCGAGCGTCATGGAGGGTTCTACGCTCCCCTCCGGATTAAAGAAGGAAACTGTAGCAATACCAGGAGGAAACTGCACGTGTTTACCATGGCCACTATTTTAGTACTTTGGATGCGCGTCCGTTTTGGGGTGCTTTCATGGTCTCCCCTGCAGCTACTACCGCCACTCTTGTCGCCAGCGTTCCCACTGCTTCTTGGCAGGTTCTCTCCAGTTCTGCGGCGTTTGTTGTGGGGAAGGTCATCTGGCTCAAACCCTTCGCTCTCCTCCACGCCATTTTTCCTCCTCTGTTATCGCCTTCTCTTTCTTTCCTTTTCCCTTCCTTCATCTCTGTCACTCCCAAAACAGTTACCCTCATTCCGCCGTTGTCGCCTTCACCAGAACTACTACCGGTATGCCAACCTACCATACATGACACAAGATAACACACACCCTGGACCAATTTTCAAAGCTCGATTACTCAACGACGAGGAGGATGCATAAACGAAACGATACATTTTTGGAAAGTTCTCGACGAGACGGTTCCAACGCCGCCATTTTCGGCGCCGTGACTCTTTCTGTTGTTGAGAAATCGAGATTTGAAAAAATGGTCCGGGGGGTGTGTTATCTTGTGTCATGTACGGTATTGGCCCGTGGTGGAAATTGGTCGATCAGCGGTCCATGGCGGTTGGAATCATTTGTGTTGGAGCCCTCGCATCCTCGTGGGGATGGCATCCCCTGTCCCCATCCAAGGGCAGGGTGGGGGTGGATGGAAACGAGAGCTGTTCGCTCGCCCCTTGTTTTTTTATCAGCGGGGACAAAACAGCCCTACCTATATGGTAGCTTGCGGAGTGGCTCGGGTTCAAGTTGCGTGGACATCGAACCCACCCTCAATTTCTTAGACTAGCAGTTTGTTTTACTTAGAAGTGACAGCCAACTAACGCGCAATGTCTTTGACTAGCAATTCGGTTTTCTTCGGAGGTGAGCGCGTTCTGCATGCCTGCTTGTCTATCGCGTGCTGTCTCGCCTGTTCTGCGAAGGAGCGTTTTTTTTTTTGGCCAGGGGAAACAAACAACAGCAACGAAAATATCGTGTTCTCTTTGTTGTCCCCCCCTCCTCCCCAGGACACACTGTGATGAAGGGGATAGCTTCACGGAGCCCTACATCGCGGGGCACAACGTTCTCAACTCCCACGCCAGGGCGGTGTCTGCGTACCGAACCAAGTACAAGGCAGAGCAACGGGGTGTTATCGGCATGACTCTCAACTCTGACTGGGCTGCGGTGAGCGAGACGATTGCTGATGACGAGGACAAGGAAGACTCTGTTGCGGGCGTAGGTACAGTAGTGACAGGCGATAGTTTTTCCGGCAGAAAGAGTGACAGGATTTCATCGTCAACCCCCAGCCGTATCTTGCTGCGTGCCAAATGGTACTCTCTTTGTCAACGAAGCCTTCTTCACGCCGGGCGAATTGTGGTTGTTACATGGTGCTATTTGTGCGGTTACCGCTGCATGTATTTGTATCAAAGGAGCGTACGATCGGTGCGACGCTCAACTGGGGTGGCGTGAGAGTTGTGCATGGCGAGTGGACCACGATGTCTATTTTCCCTTTTTCAAAGGACTAGCCTATGAACCCCGACATCAACGGCAACATCAACCAAGGAAAACGTAACTCTTCGCTTTATCCCCATCTCCTGGTGGTGCACTCCCACGTCTTGTTTACTGCAACACTACTACACATACACTTTTTTCATCAGCTGGTTATCGCATCCGTTTTTTTTGTGCCTGCTACGCTCTTCTGCTTCTTTCTCGCCCACTATGGAGTATCGCCTCGTTGCCATTATACTCCTGATTGATTCAATGGGTAGGGGGCGTCGTGTACCCGAGGAGGGCAAAAACCTGAGTCTGAAACCACCGGCAAGATCCCACCTCCGACAGGGGCGACAAATCAGCGTCTACGCAGCATTTCCCGACGCATGAAATGATCCTTGCACCAACCACATTCGTATGAAACTTCATGAGCTTTCTGTTGTTTTTCATCCACTGTTTGTTTTATCCCGTGCTGTTTTCGTGCTTTGTGGTGCCCGCTGCCCTCCAGCCGCTGGACCCTGACTCCGACGCCGACAAGGCGACGGCGGAGCGTTTCATGGAATTCCAGTTAGCGTGGTGGGCCGATCCCATCTACTTCGGGGACTACCCGCAGGTGATGAAAGACGTGGTCGGGGACCGGCTTCCGGTATTCACGGAGGAGGAGAGCGCCCTGATCGCCGGGAGCAACGACTTCTTCGGCCTGAACCACTACACGTCATGGTAAGGAGGGGAGGGGGGGGGGG